CAATACCTTCTTTACTTGATCAAAATTGACATGGGCTAGTTTACGATGCCAGTTTGTCAGACTTCCTGTTATATTGCATAGTGACATACTCTCTATAGGTTTAAACTTCATTTGATATAGTCGTCTTTTTCTCTGAGCAACTGCCCTCACGTGTCCGTTTTTATCTCGGAACTCGCTCTCTTGTTTAGTAGACTGCATCATTAGACCTTTATCTAGAGCTGTACTCAATGAAAATAAATTTACCTCAAGGTGAGGTACAAACAAAACTTCACATAAGTTCATTTTTATCCCGTCATGACCGTTCCATGCTTGAACTTCTACTTTTATAATTCCTTGTACTTCTAGCAAAGAACCGTTCTCAATGTTTACATGTCTTCTTTCTTGGAGTTCTCGCATTTCTGTAAAACTGTCCTTATCAACACATATGTTCTGTGGCTCCGCTATCTAGCCACCAACAGTCTTTAATTAAGTGTCCCTCTTTTCTGCAGCAGTGACATATTTTCTTGGTCTTCTCTGGACAATTCTTCTTTATATGACTTTTTTTATTGCACTGAAAACATACTATATCTTTCCGTTGTCGTTGAAACTTGTTTGACTTAAATGTTTTTGTGACTAAAGCTGTTCCTTAACTACTAGGTTTGTTTCTTTCTTCTTCTACTAACCATCTTGACATCAGTTCTGACAAAGTTTGTTTGTCTTCTGGCATGGATTCCCACGCTGAAACAATGTACTTTAAACTTTTGGGTAGAGACATAAGTATCTTTGTGATTGCCATTTTATCGCTTATTTCTTCTCCTTGCAGTTTCAGATTTCCTTGAATTTTCGATATCAACCCAGCTATGCCACCTTCGCCATACTCTAAGCCAAAAAACTTCTGCTGCAATAAATGTACACTTATCTGAGATATATTTTCATAGATTGTCACCAATTTTTGCCACATTTCCGCTGCTGTGGTACATGCCATACACATGGGTAAGAGGCTTTTCTTCCAGTCTACACACAATTACTTCTTGAGCCCTTGCATCTTTCATAATCCATTCTGTAACTTTCTCATCCGTTTCGTCGCCAGGCGGTTTTACAGCAGCCTTGTTAACAACTTCAAACAGCACTGCCCGATCCAAATCTTCAAATTTTGGTTTTCTTAGTTTTTTACTAGAACTGAATGATTTATTCTTTGCACTTGCAAATCGTGGATACAGTCGACGGTGTAAGTCCGTATCGACGTCCCACATCACTTTTCTTTTCTTAACATAATCGTTTTTTACGAGAAAAACACTTAGAACGACCAGGTTCTCGGTAATTAAATGATTAGGGTATGGAATTATGAGAAGGTAACAGACTCTATAATTACAAGAGGACCTACATTCCTTACTTTGTTACCCGATGTGCCGTTTTTTCTTTCGTTATAGTGCGTGAGAAATTCTTTATACAGAGTGGATTAATACATAACTTTGTATGGAGTCTCGCTATAGTGAGTTTTCACTGTATTTTGTAAAATCACTATGGGGCGCTTAAGTAAATAACATCCTGTGTCATCCACTTAATTCGAATATTTTATAATATCATTGGTTTTCGAAATTCAAACGGCTAAAAAAAAACAGGAACCCCGTCGGAGGGGCGGCGAAACGGTGATGCCGCAAACGCGTCCGCCGCCGCCGCCCCCAAAGTTGGCGGCCCTCCGAATATCCGAGGGCTTCCTCTGGAGACCGAAAGTTCCGTCGCTGACAATTTGAAAGTTATTTTAACATTCATATAGAGATACCCCGCTTCTTGTTATACGTGCATATACGTATACGTCCCCCTTAATTTATATGTATATTTATTAGGGAGGAAACGGGTATCTTTCCGGGGGAGGCGAGAGCTGTTTCGCGGACCAGGATGGGGTTTAATCAAAACGAATGACGTGGAAAAATTTGCGGGTCCGAAAAATTTGCGAATTTTGCATGGGGGCCGAAAACTTTAAAATTTACAGGGTAATAGGTCATTAAATCGTAATTGAACTAAACTAATTATAGTACGACCAAAAATATAGTGCATTTATTGCTTTGACGTTTTAAGTATTAAGTAAGCAGACCTCCGCAGGACCGTGGTAAAACCCATCCTAAGAAATGTTTATTCTTCATTAAGTAGCTCTTGCCCGAGATGAACCGTAACGAATATTTGTAGGAACTTGACATTTTTATTTGAAACGTAAATTTGTTTAAACATTGATGCTGCGGGATATTTTCAAATATGTATCGTTCTTTATGTACCTGATTCTCGAGCTTTGACTCTGCGAGGTTGTTTTTTTTTTTAATTTTTTATTTGCGGTTAAACCAATTTACAAAGCTTTTACATTCATTAAAGGCAAAGAGAGAAAAGGGTCAAGCTTTAAACAGTTGCTTTCAGCATTCTAGTAAGGGGTGAATACACTCCATAATTAGCGCGATGGTAAGGATGGTAAAGTATTGAGTTCAGAATCTTAAAGAGAAAAACTAAATCACTCTGAGGTCTTCTGGTTTGAAGAGTATCTATAGTGAAGTCCTTAGCTATAATACTGTAGTTGATCTGATTCCCATTGCAGATATGCATATGCGCCTTTGAAGCCAAAGATCTTAAAAATACTTTCTGAACGGCTTCGATGTTATCTATATGGCAGGCGTAATATGGAGGCCCTACCAAAGACGCATACTCTAGTCTAGAGCGAACAAAAGAGATTTAAAGAAGTTTAACCAAAATGTGTCACAAAATGTAGTTTAGAATCGAAGCAAACACTTCTCTTTAATACTAGTGACTCAACGAACGACTAAAGCTAATACTACAGCATTTCTTTAAATTGAACTCGAGGCAAACACTCTCCAGGTCTCTCTGAAGCAGCCGAGCATCCTCGCGTGATCCAACCTTCCTGAATATCGTCAAATCGTCCGCAAATAAAAGACACTGCGATTCCAAAACCACACTAACAATATCATTTATAAACAAGTTAAAAAGGATGGGTCCACTGTGAGAACCTTGAGGGACTTCCGAAAGAATATCAATTTTACCTGAGACTTAATTATTAATACGAACCAACTGAGTACGACCAGACAGAAAACACTTAATCCATTGCACCAGTCCAGCCCCCAGACCCACAGCTCTCAGCTTAGAGACAAGATGCATATGACCCACTCGGTCAAACGCCTTCGAGAAATCCGTGTGGACACAATCCACCTCAAACTCCTCAAAGGCGTTCGATAAAAATAGTGGGTTGCTGTTGCAAAAGATTGAAAAGATGCGTATATCCCACTTGTTAGTGTGGGTAGATAAATTCCTAGGAGACGGTTCTGTAATGGTAACGGGTAAGGGTCTGCTCGGCAGGGTGTCCTATAATGTAATCACGGGGTCAGCTGGAAAAGCACTATATTTCTGGTCGAAGTATAACCCCCAAATTTTTTATTTAAAAAGAACCGAAACTTTCTTTTAATGTCGCAAAGAAAATAGTAAAAATAAGGTCAAGCAAAGATAGTTAAAAATTAAAATTAAATTACAAACTGGAAATAGATTAAAACTTTATTGGGAAAACGTATGAAGACTATTAAATTAAAATAAAAGAAACAAAAAAAGTAAATATAAAATGCTAGATCGTACGCTTTTTGAACGGTTTTATAGATTATTTCTTTCAATCTAATTTTTCTTACATTTTCTAAAAAACGCCAGTGTAAGGAGACAAAATAAAAAGAAAAAAATTACTAAAAAAATTTTTCCTTTTTATTTCATGTTGAACTGAAAAAATGTGTAATTTACCTTGATAAAAAATTTCTATAATTACGTTTTTACTAGATATTTGTTTGTCACAATCAATTTTTAAGAATTCAAAATACGCTTTTTAATGAATACAATGTAGAAATTCATAGAGTACAAAATTTAATAAAATTTCAAACGAATTTGGTCAAAAATTTCTTGATACAACCCTGAAACTTTTATCAAACCACTTAACAAAAATCACAATTTTTTACATTTTCTAATATTCGCAAGTGTGAGGGGAAGGGATGTACTCAAATGAAAAAAAAAAGAAAAATTTAACAATTTGTCTTTACTTTAATTACAAATTCCTAGTGTTAATTACGTTTTTAAACACCCTTCTTTAATTCAAAATACATTTTTCTAAAGACAATCATATAAATTGGAAATTGTAAATGGGTTTGATAAAAAACAATTTAATTAAAATTCAATAAAATGATGAAAAAAGGTAAATTTAAAATAATCCCAAAAAATTATTCAGAGAATTATTTTTAATTTAATTTATTTAACTGATTTTTTAATGCACGACAGTGTGAAGAGGGAAAGAGTAGAGAAATAACACAAAAAAAAAGAAAAAATGAGCAGCTCCATTCATTTAATTTTTTTGAAAATTTTCTACTGAAAATGTTCTTACTTACCTTGATAACAAGTTCCTAGAGATAGTTGGCATTTTTAAACTACCTTACTTTTGCTTATTATAAAAAATCATTAAAATTCAATTTTCCATATATTACGTTCATTATGAATAGAATTATAAATGACATAATTATTTTAAACAACAGCATTTTTTTCAGTAGCTTCTTTTCTTATGTTCTTTACATTTACTTTACTTCTGAATTTTTTTGAATTTTGAATTCCTCGACATGTTTTTTTAATAGAAACAACAGTTGAAGACATTTTATTCAGTATATTTCCTCCATTACTATTACAAATTACAAACTAAATTAAACTAATCTATGAATTTTTGAAATTATGGAAATCAATCATCGGCCGGTCGCCAGGACACTCCGGCCCTAGCACGGACGTCTTCAAAATATTAAAAAAAAAAAAAACATTGTAAGAAAAAGCACAGATAGGTTATGACGCCGTGGCCAGGAGGGCAAGAGTGTTTTAAGACCTGGACCTGCTCCGGCTCCTTGACTTTTTCTCTTCGGGACTCTTGGACTTCGACCTGGATCTGGACCTGGAGCGCGACCGTGAATGCGACTTATCCTTGAAGCGTTTCTCGGGCGAACGGCTGCCAGACCGCGATCGGGATCTCTTCACCGACTTCCTCTTCGATGGAGATCTAGACTTGGACCTCTCCTTCTCGGGCGACCTAGACCGCGACCTCGAACGCGACGACTTCTTCTCCTTTTTGACGGGAGAGTTCGATTTAGACCTGTAAAGAATTGGGCGCGATTTTAGGCGGCGTGGAAACATTTGGAAATTAACTTGACCCAGATTTAATCACGGGCAGACGAAAGATGTTTGCTAGTAAAGTCAAGATGGACTGCGGTCTACAAACGAACACTCAGAATATTTGCCACGATGGCGCATAGCAGATAACTCAATAGCAAAGTGAAAAAAAAATAAATTACTATTTAGCAATTATAAAAACTTTCAAAATTTTGCAAGTGATATTTGCTAGCTAAATAGCAAAAAAATTAAGAAATTTAAAAGCAAAATAAAAATTACGTTTTTGTTCTATTATTAAATACTAAAATTAAGGCAGTATTCTGACAATATTGCCGATACCCCTACTGTGATTCGATTGTTATCAAAACATCTTGCGTAGGTTAATAAATAAACTATTTAAAAAAATTGACAAAATTATTCACAAGTCTCTGTCATCAGACGTGTGTGACATCCAAGCCCGAGGTAGTGTCCTCCATAGCAATATCTCGCAGAAAGCCTCAACAACGTGGTCGAAAATGTCAGCCCCTTGATAGCCCTTACCGAAAGCTAAACACCAATTGTACGCGTCGCAATTGCATTGCCGGGCCACCTCCTCAAGGGGGGCGACGACGCTGCTGCAAAGTGGAGACCCGCCCCACCGCACAATATTAAGAAAAAAATATAATGTCGGAAAAAATACAAACAGAATGTAAGGAAAGTAAAATGCATCAACAGAAAAAAAAAAAATAACGTTCACTATATCATTACGACGGTCAGCCATCTTACCATTGGGCAGGCTTAATGGTCCCGCACACACACGCATTGCCCCGATCTTTTGCATCGCCCCCTTTAGATTTTTTACGTATTTTTTGGCCCTGTGCGGGATTGACTGTCTGTGCGCCATGTATTTATATTTTTTGGCGCGAACGTCTGTGTTGCTCGGTACTGCATTGATTGTCTAAAATTGCTTATAATTGGTCATTGGTTGGTACATTATGCGACACGCACGAGGTGACGAGGAGGTCGGTTTGTAACGAAAACGCTTTTTGGCCCTCGACACACTACAGAGTTCGTTATTTTCATTCAGTTTGTGTAAGGTAATTCATTGATTGCTTTACTGGCTGGTCATTGCCCAAAAGTCAATGTCCAATTCTGAAATCAATTATACGAGGATTAGAGTGGGTTCCACACGCATCGCGGAGAATAGGGGGGGTTGAGGAAAGATAGTGGGGGCTCGAAAAATAATTAGGAAAGCGCATGCACAAAATATATACACGGGGATGTCCCGCAATACTTGATTGAATTTTAATGGAAAACATATTTGTATCCCCAAAAAATCCCACCGAATTTTTTCTTATTTTATCTTTCAAAATAAACGGGCCGTGATCTGCGACGTTAATCGCGAGACACCCGCTACATAGAAAGTGACAACCATTACACAAACGAGCCTTAAGATAGTCGCGCATACAACCCACTTCCTGAAAAACATAAAATAATTCGCATGCGATACATTTTTAAGGCAAAGTGTTACAACTATTAGGTTAACACAAACAAAATTTACCCCAACCCTAGCGCAAGCTTATAAACAACGGACTTCGTTTTTAAACTTGCGCCACTACGAAAAAGAAGAAAAAAAAAGAAGAAAAGAAAACGAAAGCAACCTGGCACAAAGTTAATCGCTGCTGCAATCGATGTAAAAAAACGTGTCGAAAATTTTGAACCGATTCAAAAATCCCGCCGCAAAGTGTCACGCGGCCGACCAATCGACGCGCGCCAGCCGGTCGGCAGACGCGACCTACGTCACAATATGGCCGATCGTCATTACGCGCAGAAAATTTAACAACGATATTTTCGATAACCACTTACCTGGAGCGTCCGCGTTTTCTGCTATCGCCCGAGGACGATCTGCTCCTCGATCGGCTTCTGCTCCTGCTGCCCCTCCTGGCGCTCTTATCCTCAACCAAACGGATACGTCTTCCGTTCAAAACGGTGTCGTCAAATTTTCTGATGGCATTCTTCATGTCGTCGTACGACGCAAATTCGACGATACCCTCGTTCTTGTACTTCTTGTGGGCGTCGGCGAATGTAACTTCGCCGGCGGGTCGCAGATAATCTTTAAGGTCCTGCCAGCTCACCCCCGACGACAAGTTTTCGACGAAAATGCGGTAATTCGTGCGGACCGGGGGCCCTTGTCCGCCGCCACGTGGTCGATGATCACGGCTCGAGAACCATTCTTGATCGCGTCCCCTGGGTCTGCCTCGGGCCATTTCTACGCTGACTCGCATGCCCAGTAACTTTTTACCGTGCAATTCGTAAACCGCATCTTCTGCGTCACGATAATCGTCAAACTCCACAAATCCATAACCGTTCTTGATGAGAACGTCGCGTATGCGACCAAATCCTCTGAAGAAGTTTTCTAGGTCCCTCTCACGGGTTTCGTAGGGGATACCGCCCACGTAAACGCGTGAACTCATATTATACGGACGTTTCCTTCGGGGCGTCAGAGTGCCGCTTGGCGCGAACTTACTTCAGGTTAGAAATGCACGAAAACACGAGTTTCACGCCGAATCGGTCAGCGTAAATTAAGAAACGACAGGCAAATGGGTACGTTAAATCCCTCGAGAGGCAATTAGCCGCACTTCCGAAGCAATTACAAGCGATTTACCTGACTTAATGAACCGGACCGATCGGCATCAACACTCTTAGCAACATAACCACACAAAATGGACGATCGATGGCAGGGAGAAGAAAATGATTGGCGCGGTGGCAGCACCATCGCTTGCGTCCGAAAATCTATTTCAAATTTTGATTCAGATTTTATTATGAACCCCGTGTGGTTTTGCTTTTTGACAAACCCCGCACACTAATTTATTTTTTTTAAATCAATGTTGTAAGACTGCGACTGGGGGCTTTTATAAATTACGAGCGCAACTTTGAAAGTAAACGAGAATAATGTGCGCAAGTTGCCCAAGTTATTGCTTGCGATTTTTTGAACTTTCTGATAAAAAATTACAATTAACATGAACCTTTTTTGCCAAAAAAGATTAGACGAAAGTCTTTTCAATGGATTTCGAAGTTACGTACGATTTTTAGACGCTTTGCATTAATAATAAAACAAGCAGAGTGGCGCAGTGGAAGCGTGCTGGGCCCATAACCCAGAGGTCCGTGGATCGAAACCACGCTCTGCTAAGAATTTTTTTTCATTTCTTTCAACCACGAAATAAATGTATATTAAAATATGAAAAGGATCATTGTCAGTAATGATTTTCGAGGAAAAGTTAGCATTATTATAAGACCATTAGCAGTTTGTATTTTTAGTCAAAACAAGGATTTACCCAACTGACATTAAGTAAATGCCCACGGGACCTATAAGTCAGCCACAACCCGACTTTCCGGATGCTTTATAATTCAAACAAATGTTTTTCCTTAATTACCAAACTTTGTTTGCCTGCTTGTTGAAACGCAAGCTATGTGTCGTAAGATAATTTTGAAATACGACCTCCTTTGGTGAAATAATACCTGCCCGCCCTTAAAAGAATATCCCCTGCTTCCTTAATGTTACCACGGCTGCATGCCATCGTTAAAAAGCAATTTGAAGATGACAATGACGAAAATACGATTTATTTTTGTTTATTTTATACTTACCCGTGGTTGTTCCTTATAAAATATGTCTCTACGCCAATGCACGAGTGTTTATTTTCGGGCGTGGTTAGTCATATATTATTTACTCGCTGAAGGGGCAAAGAAGATGCCGAAACGTAAACGGGGCAAATAATAATAAATTCGGCGACTTTTTTTTTTGAGCGCTTTAACAAATAGGTTATGCCCAGGATATTCATGGAATTTTTAAATCGCTCGTGGGGACGGGGTGGAAAACGGGGAGATTTTCGCAGTGCGAACCCTCTCATAAACCACCTCGTAAAACGATATCCCTTTTTATTTAACGAAGTGGCTTTATTATTTTTTACATGAACCTGAAAATTAAATGTTTGCGCAGCCACCAATTTATCGTGAATATTCGAAAGTTTTGATATCGAAATTCCGCTGGTATCTGGACTCGTGGCGGTGTGGTAGAAAACTGAGGAAAATTTTATTTAAAAAAAGTTCACGAATGACCTGTTTTCAGTATTCATGTTTATCCACCGATACATCCTAAGTGGAATTGTTTATGCATTGTCATTTGGAAGTATTAATAATAATTTAACTTTTAAAAACTCTTCGAAAAGAGCGCATTTACAAAAAATGGCAGCATGTATTTCTTTGGAGTACTAGTTAAAAAAACATACACAAAATGCACACGTATTTTCCTGAACACAAGTATGTACATTTAATCAAAATTTTTGTTTTTTTGAAACAGGGAAAAATTTGAAATTATTTTCAAATTTTGGTGAAAATTGAATCAATACGGAAAGAATACGAAAATACTGATTTATTTTTCATTTCCAAATAAAATGTACAAGTTTATATTACCATGCCATACGTAAATGATAAAATTTAAAGCGATGAGTTATTATTTATTAATAAAACAAAATGAGATTATCTGAGGAATTGTAATATCTACTGGTCTGTGCAATTCATATTATGTTCTGTGACTTTTTGATGATCCGTGCCTGGCGGTGGCGTTACCCAAAGTTACTCAGGAATATACGTTTTTGCGATGGTATATGGATTATTACAATACTGAGCAACATAAGAATTAATTATTTTAAAAAATGTTTATAAATTAACCCCACCAGTAGAAGTAAATTAATTTCTTCACAAATTCGCGAAATAACAAGCGTATAATTGGTTGCCTACTCAGAGTACAATGTTCTCACAGGATTGAAGACACACGTCATAACTGCTCTTATAGTAGTAGTAGCTCAGCAAATAATTCGTAAATTTCTGCATTTCCAAAGGAGGTGGGTTAATGCTTGACTAGGAAATGAAAATAAAGGGCTGTTAGAAAAACGTTTAAAATGGACCCTGGAAAGCTTAAACAAACAATGAGCATAAATTTTCGAGATTTGATACACGCAGAGGATAAACGTATGGTAACTCTGAATTTCTTTCTTCTTGCCAAAAATTGAAGACAATCGTGAATTTGTTTGCCGATATCAAAGTAGTGCGGCAAATCTAATTAATTGAATTGCCTAATAATATTTCTTCGTTAGATGACAAAATAAGCTGTTGTTTGCAAAATTTTCTTCTCAAAGCGAGCCGTTTGCTATATTTGTTGCTGGGATAGGGGGCGGCACGAGTCCAATCCCCTTTCGAACGGGTCGGAACAGGTTAACATGCATTTTGCATACGCGTCACCTTATTTAACCGGTCCGGGGTTATTTTCCGGTGTCGCTATCCAATTTCCTTCGGCTGTTCGCGTCTCAAACTGCTGAGAATTACCCCGCGACTCATACAAAACGGCCGTCGTGCCTCCGTACGAATGGAATTTGTTTGGGTCGACAATCTAGACAGGGGCGCGCGTTTTGGATTTGTTTAAGGCGTGCGAGTGTTTCGCATTTAAGAGGAAATCTGAAAAGAAAAGATGATAAGCCAGTGTTAAAATGACCTAAGGTAAGGCAAGTGTTCTTTCTTAAATTGGGATAGAAAAACGTTAAAAAAAAAACAAAATTTATGGCCTGCTAGGAGGATGGAGAGAAAACTAACCAATTTATAATTTTAATATCCAATATCACATGCCTTGTTCTATACTTTGATGTTTTAAAAATATAAAGATTAAATATCATATTATATTGTATTTAGGTATAATAAAGTCTCATTAGTATCAATAGAAAATGCGATGACACTAAATACATACAAATTATTAATAATCACCTAAATAAGTACATCTAAATTTCTTTCAATCTGTGGCTCCAGAGTAATTTTTTCATGCAAATATAAGAGTCTCCAGTCTTTAAAATGTATTTGTACAGCGCTCAACAAGTACTAGTAAATTCATTAAATTGATTACATTTGATTTTCTTTGATATAGAGGAAGACGTACAATGCCCCATTTGTTCAGCTAAACTACCACATACATGTTGTTTTTAATAGCATTGAAAACTTGTTGAGCTTTTTTGTAACTGTATTTAATGAGAATCTATTCTTATTTCCTGGAGGTAATTAAATCTTCAAGTGTTCATTCTGTTTGAAGGTATTTAAATCCCATTTTACGAATGACTCTATGGCGGTAAGTTTTGGTAAAGAGAATATCTTGTTCAATAATTCACTGTAATTGTAGGACCAAAATTATAGTACATTTATTGGTTTGACGAGTTTTTTACAGTACCGTACCCGCAGACGTTCGCAGTACCGTGGTAAAACCCATCTTAACAGACTTTTGTTCTGCATTAAGTAGGTTTTGCCTGAGATGAAATTGAAATTTTACTCTTAAGAGTTCGTATATATTATGGAGGTATTTGAATGTGATCCCTCCAGTAAGTACGTGTTTATGTAACTAATTCTCGAGCTCTGACCCTTCGAGGCTGTTTTTACTGTATAGTTCAAAGGGTAAGGGTAAGTTATGTTGCAGGTAAGTTTTAAAATAATTATTTTTGTCATGTGTGCCTGTCGATTTTTCTTCTTGTATTTTTGTGTTTCCTACATAGTTCTGCGATTTGTAAAAAACAACAGTCATGTTTATTAAAATCTTATAATTAAACATTTTTTGAAGGTTCCTGTTTTTTAAAACTTTAAATTGTGAAGCCCGGGGAAACAACGCAGAATTTGAAGATGAATCTATCAAATCGTCGTTGCGAACTTTTTGAATTTTCAGTTCCCAACGTCAATTGCTAATGCTGCTAATTGCTAACAAAACAATTTCGACGGCAAAATAGGCCAATAGTATATTTAGTGTATTGAGATGATTTGGTCTAAGTTGAAAGTGCATATAAGAAGAAATAACACTGCATTAAAATTTAGTTATAGTACCATAAACTTAATAGGGCAAGAGGTAGCTAAAATATCAATACAAAGCTGGTTTAACTGTGAAATACCAGAAATCAAAGATCTTAACTTCCATTATGAGTTGAAGGTCGTGTTCCTTGTTCACTAAATGTTGAACTTTGAATTTGAAACGTGATCAGTCCATGGTATCCTTAATATTCTATGATACACCCATCAAACGCTTCCAGCTTATCCACTATGCTTACCTTTAATGTATATGACTCAACACAGGAAAGAAGTGTGAAGTGCACGAAGCATTTGACGAAGTTATATCTTTTGTGATTGCTAATACTGTTGCCGCACAGAAGGTTTCGCATCTTTAGGAAATTTGTTCTTGCCATTTCGATAAGTTCTCTTATTTCTACATCGGGATTTAGATCTTCACTGATCCAACTACCCAACTGAGACTCTTGTTATTGGTGTTCCATCCACAGCTTATATTCGCGCGTTGGTTTGGATTACGATTTGTATTTTTTGTATTTATCTTAAGGCCCATTGAGTCGCTTACTTTGGATATGTTATCTAGCAATTTTTGTAGGCCTTCAGACCTATCAGCAAGGCCACGAGGGTCAGATCTTCCAAAAATAAATGGACTTTACTATTGTTTGAGACTTTGTTATTTAATTCTGTTTTTGTTCCTTAAACCGAGATTTTCATATGTTGATTCTTTTAATGGTGATAAAAAACCTTAACCCATTTTGTCTTAATTTTTTTTTCTCATCCAGGAAATATTTTTGCACATCCGTTTAGACATTTTATTATTATCACTACTAAAGGACATAAAACAGTAAAAATC